GCGATAGCTTCCGGTGGAGCCGGCTGGTTTGCTTGAGCTTGGGCCCCCTGTTGCAATATCTGGAGGATGTCACGTTGCATCATGTCCAGCACATCAAGGTCATCCCCCGTGGTGGTGGTGGTGGTGGTGTTTGTCGTGTGTGCTTCTCCTGTGGTGGAGCTGCTGCTTTCATTGTTGGGGTTGGTTGTGATCGTGGCGGTCGTGGTAGCGGATGTCCCGCTGGTGGTCGTGGTGGTGGTGGTTGTGGTCTTTCGCCCTTTCTTCTTGCCGCCGATGTCACGGCCGTCTCGTACTTTGGCGAAGGGGTCTTCTGGCTGTGCTTCTGTTGGGTCGTCCTCCTCTGGCTGTGGTGGAGGCTGTGCCGGTGTTGGGTCGTGTTGTTGTCGACTGCGTGCCCCCCTGAGGTCTCGTTGGTCAACGAAGGGGGCTTCTTCACGGGGCGGCTTGGGTGGGGGGGGTTTGGCTTTGCCCGCTGGTTGCCTGTCGGTGGGCTGGTTAGCGGTGCGGGGAAGGGGTTTCCGCCGCGCTGTGGGTGGTGGGTCTTTCACGTCGGCTGCAAAGTGGACATGCTTCGAGTCAGGGGTGCTTGTGTCTGCCGTGTGTTTTGGGATCTGGACTGGATCGGTGGAGCTGCTTGCACGGTCAGCCCCCCGGGGGGTGGTGGGGGGTTGTTTGGGGCCGTCTGGGTTCGGCTTTGATTTTTCGCGTTTGCGGAATTCACGGGCCGTGGATTCCACCTGTTTGTCCACTCGCATCTGCCAGCCGGTGGGCGAGAGGGTAAGGACGAACGAGTCCCCCTCCACGACAAACATGCTCTCAGGCCAGAATTCGTCGAGCATGGGTAAAGCCGTGATCATCAGTAGCCATGTGTCTGGTGGCCCCATGGGGGCTAATCGCCCGATTGTTCCCACCGGCAGTGGGGGTGCGGTGAGGACGGGCCCCGTCTGGCCAACATGGACCATGTGGAGTGGCGGCAGGCCTGCCGAGGAGGTGAGGGGGGTCTCAATGTAGTGTTCGGCACTGATTGTGATTTGCCAGCAGCCGTTTGTCAACTGTGTATAGCTGACCGTGGTGCCGTGTGCATGAGGGATGCTGGGTGGTGGCTCAATGTCGATGTCCCCCGCTGGGGCGTTGTCATACTGCCATTGCTCGAGTTCTGTATATTGGTGTCTTGGAGGGGGTTGTTCCCCCGTGGAGGCAGTGGAAGGCTTGGGTGGTTGTGGCTTTGGCTCCCCCGATGCTGGGTGGGCGGGTGGGACTGTGGCGCCGCTCCCCTGGGTTCGCCCTAGGAACTTGTCCATCGCCTCCTGGAATTTGGCATCAGCAGCCGTGTCCGCCTTTGTCCCCCGTGGTTGTGGCATGTTGTGGTTTTGGGAAGCAGCGCGTGCTTGTTCAGCGAGGATCCCCCAACCTGGGCCCTCCTGTGGTTGTGGATCAGGTCGAGTGACTTGCTCACCCGCCCATTGGCGCTGTTTCAGCACGTGTTTCCCCCGCTTGTTGCCGAGTCTTTGGGATCCATGTCCCGCGCCAGATGTGCGGCTGGATCTGCCGCTGCCGGTTGCTTGTCCCCATCCTGGTCTTTCCCAAGGAGGGAGCTTCTTGCTGTCTGTGTCATTGCTGGGGCTGGTCTGTCCCTCCTCTGGAGTGTCGTCAGTGGTGGCGTCCCCAGGTGTTGTGAAGTTGCTTGGTGGTCGTGGTTGAATGAATGCTGGAGGAGGTTGTGTCCCCCGGTTGCGTGGTGGTGGATCCTGTCGTGGGGGTGTGTGTTGCAGTGGTGGTGGTGGCTTGCTGCACGATGCGTCCACTGCTTCCTGCTCTGCCGTCTTGGTTGTGGCTGTTGGTGGTGGTTGTTGATGGGATGATCCCCCTTGTGGATCTGGCAGTGTAGATTGGTGGGAGTGTTGTTGATGTGTGTCGGTGGGGGTGGCCGGTGCTGTATTTTGAGCTTGGAGGGAATGTTGTGTGTCGGTAGTCATGGCAGGTGTTGTACCTTGGGCTTGGTCGGAATGTGCCAGCCTGCTATCGGGTGGGTCGTCCTGGGGGTTATTCCAGGGGTCAAAGTCCCAATTGTACGTTGGGAGTTGCTGGGTGGGGGCCCCCGGTTGGGTCGAGGCGGTGGCTTGTGTTTGTGGGTGGATTGTGGCAGGCTGTGCAGGGATGGCTTGTTGGGGGTATTGTTGTGGGACGGCAGCTGTCCCCCACTGTTGTGGAGCACGCGGGGCCCCGGGTTGGTTGGTGGGTTGCTGAGGGGGTGCATGGTGTGGGGGCTGGCATGCCTGTCCCCCGATCTGGTAGGCTGGTGGAGGGAAGTAGCTTGGCATCTGCGGTGGTGGTGGCTGGTGGTGACCGGTGCCGGGGGAAGGGTATGTTGTCCAACCACCCCACGATGTAACGTAGCCGGTCGGGGTAAGATGTGTTGCCGTCCACGCCACTTGAGCTGGTTGTTGATTGGGCGCCCAGTGCTGGGTTTGCCATGGTGCTTCGGGGGGGGTTGCTTGGGTCGCCGTGGTCCGGTTGTGGTGCTGGTCCCCCTGTGTCGTGTCGCCGGCTGCAACAGGGGTTGGGTCAGGCTGGTCCTTGCGAGGAGCCGGTGATCGGTCTGTCGGTGGGGAGTCTGGGGAGGCTTTGGTCCCCCCGTGGGGTGCTCCCCACAAAAGGAGTGCTGCTAGGAAGATGCGTAGCATCTTTCACAGGCTTGTTAGAGTGTGCTTTGTCGTCTCACTGCTTTGTTGCTGAGTTTTGCTTTGGCAGCGATTGGCATCCACCAACAGAAAATGTATATAGAGAAGAGGTATGTTGCGAAGTGACATGTGTGGTCATGTTCGAGCAAGGTCAAAAGCATCGGAATTGTCACCGTCGTCCTTCAACTGCAAGTTGCACATGCCGCACTCCATCGAACTCGTTCTCACATGCACTGCAGCTCATTCACGAGTTCAGCGGGGTGTGCTTGTGACATGCTGTTTCGCGTCGGTGCGGCTCTGCAAGACAGTATGCTCTCTCGAACTCCTACCTACGGGCTGGCTTGCTTCGATTAGATTTCGCCTTGGCTGCTTTCCCCTTGTGCAGGGCTTTCTTGTTCGCTGGCTTGTCAGCGATGCTTCGCAGAAAGGTTTGGTCTGTGTCCCCCGGAGTGGGTGGTGCGAGGTTTGCAAGGCTCCCCTGCTTCCCACTGCTCCAAGGAACATCATATCGTGCGATGAAGATGGCTTCATGGGCTGCCCAGGCCTCTCGGTCCTGTGCGAGCGAAAACCAACCTTTTCCGACGGTCTCGCTCAACTGGCGGTCAATGTCCATGTAGGCGTTGAAGCGATGTGCGTGTTGCACATCAATCCCCCTGTCCTTCTGTTCTTGCCACCACTGTAGACTGTGCCATTGGAATATTTTCCCCCCTACTGGGTCACCTCTGCATATATGTCCGACAGCTGTCCAGATTTGCGATAGGACAAAGGTTGACCAACGTGTTCCCCCGTGATGGTAGAGGGCCAGGCGGCTTCGTCGGAGGCTGCGTTTGTTCCATGTTGCCCACTCTTCACAGGGCTGGCGTCTCAAGCCCAGCATGGTCCTGACCTGAGAAAGCTGGATGGCGTTCACCGCGCGCAGCAGACTGCTATGGCAAGGCCACGTTTGGCAGGCCCAAAGGGCGCTCTGCCTCACCAGTACGACGTGGATCTGCAGTTTCTGCCGGAAAGTAGCATCCGATGTAAAACTTTCTCGATGTGACCAGAAGGCCTTCCTTGCTCGGGTCTGTGCTTCCGCCAACAACATCGCAGTTCCCCCTTGGAACGAGAGGGGGCTGCCGAGGACGTAGAAGGCGTGTTCAGGCCCCTTTGTGGCGACGATTTCCCCCGCTACTTTAAAGGTGGTAGGCTTCTCGGACGTGCTGATGATGTCCGTTTTTTCCGGATGCAGGAAAAGGCCTCGTCGTGGAAGTCGATCGTGAAGGGCACTAAGCATATGCTGGAAGTGCCTCTTGTTCACCGACCAAATGTAGTTGTCGTCCATGTAGCTTCCCCCATCTTCGGGAGGAGCTTCGTCTCCAGCAGGTTTGGCCGGTTTGGCGGTCCGAATTGCTGCGTCTAAGTCCTCCGCCACTATTGCCCCGAAGGCCACGGGGCTTTCGGGTGCTCCTTGGCGGACGCCATTGCTTTGTTGGAGGGGGATAGATTCCCCCGCCACTTCGACAGTGATTTTCTGGGCATGCACCATCGCCACCCACGCTCGGGCTTCCCATGGTAGGTCTGCTTTCCCCCCGACAACGGAGGCGACGTGCTCGGCAAGGCTTTCCTGGTATATGGAGTCGAAGGCCTTGCGGATGTCCAGTTTGGCAATATAAAACTCCATGCCCCAGTCTCTGGCGACACGGGCGAGCCTCCTCAAGATCATGATGAGTTCGACTCCTTGCCTGCCTCGTCGACACCATTGGAGCCTCGCCGGTGCCTGGATCGATTCCCCGGCTCTGCGAAGAAGTAGTTGCCCAAATGTTTTGAGCATGACTGAGCTCAAGGTTATTGGGCGAGTCTCCCCCCAGTTGGAGGGCTGGGTAACCTTTGCCAACAGAATAGTGACTCCGGCCTCGATACTCGGCACGATTCGTGCCGTGTACAGCATATCATTGAAGATGGCCAGGAGTCGTTCCCCCCAAACGGGGTGTGGGAGGATGGCCTTCAGTGCTTCGTGTGAGACCATGTCCGGCCCGCACGACTTTCCGTTCCGCCACTTGTCCTTGATGGCCTGGAGGTCTTCGATGGTGAAAGGCTCCCACTTCTTGAATTTGCAGGCCAGAGTGAGCTGGTCGAAGATTTCTCGTATTCTCCGATTCACGATTTGGCTGTCCTGCTTGTTGAAGATCTTTTCGAAGTGTTCGCGGAGTTTTTGTCGCCAAGCCTCATCTTCCGTGAGTCCAAGCTCCCACGAGTGGTCCCGGGATTGTTCCAAAAGTGCTTTCTTCATCCCCCAGTCGAGCTCCGCAACTTTCTGCATCGCCAGTCTTTTCCATCTTTTGTGCTCTGCCAGGTGCAGCTTTCTGGCATATTTCCAGAGATCACGTCGCCTGTCCCCCGGGGGGTTGGCGAGGGCCTGTCGCCGAACTTCTCGCAATTGTGCACTCTCGGTGAATGGCGCCTTTTTCTTTCCTGGCTTCGTGATGGCAACTGCAACTTTCTGCAATTGTGTGACAGGATCTCCCCCGACATCTGTTGCCTTGTCGAGGATACGGTCCACCTGTCCCCCTTTAAGCAGTTGCCGGGCAGACCAAGTTGCAGGGTCGCGCTTCGTGTTCGCGGCCAGACGGATCTGTGCCAAAGGGACAAATACAGGCTCATGGTCTGAAGTTGCAACATCACGCTGGGCAAGCACATCCCCTGAATCACACAGCAATCTCTTAACAAAAATGTAATCGAGTCTGCGAGGAAGGAGCTCAGTGTTGTATGGGTAGTGGCTTGCTTTGTGGAGCTCTTGCGATGGTAGATAAAAGCACTCCTCATCGAGCCAGTCCAAAAGGAGTTCCCCTCGAGCTGTTGCTGCTTTGATTTGCTTGTTCTGGCTTGCACAGGCAAAAGTTTCGTTTGCATCAATGCCGATGATCGCCTTGCCGTGGAATGTTGTTTGATTGTGCAGTTCTTGTAGGATTTGCTCTGTAGTTGAGAGTGTGGCATGGTGAGGGATATGAACGGAAAAAGCTCCCAACCTGAAGTCCAAAGAAGTAAGCGTGCACGACAAAGCACCATGCAAGATCTTTCCCCGGGTGTGCTGCATGTTGGCGGTGTGCACAACGGCGTTCCCCCGCCAGTCCTCGGAACGTTTGCCGAAGATCATCTGCAGGTCATCCAGGGCCGCATGTTGTTTCCCCGTCTCGCAGATGACCTCTTGGATCAACACGATCAGGGATCCTGAAAAAGGTTGAATTCGATGTCGCCGGAGTGCAAGGAGAACGTCCAGTACTTTCGCAGAGGTAAGTCCCCCGACATTCCAGCTAAGCACGTGCAACTGGGACGGCGGGCTGTCGGCCAAAGTGGCCGCCCGCTCCTTCCGCCTTTTTCAGGCGAGAGCCTTGCGGAGGTCCCCCCAGCGGGAGGTAGCGGTTTCCTCCGAGATGCCGACTTGGCGGGCCAAGGTGCCGAGATGGACCCATCCTGCTTTCTCGGTGGTGGCGCCTTCTGGTGCCGAGGTCACCCCCGATGCGATCTTCACAGTGTTATACCACAGGTTTGCGGTCCCGTACTCGACTTCGATCTTCCGGGGGTCGCCTCCTTCTTCGATGATGAGTCGTTTGACTTTGCCGGCCATTTGCGCTCGTCGGCGTCTTTCTGGACTTTGGCTGAGTGCTGCGAAGAAATAGCGATTCCCCCCTTCTGGCCGCTGTCCCGTAACGATCTTCGCTGCTCTCACGGTTCGAAGTACTTCCTGGACTCGAGCTCGTTGTTCTTCGTCACTCTCCCCCTCAAGTTTCGTGATAGGGACCAGGGCAAATCCCCGGCGGAGGCCGGGCACGAATGCCTTCTCAACATCAAGGTTCACGTTGAGCTCTGCAAGGTGTTGTTTCACGAGCCTGAGGGTGTCCTCATGGTGTTGGTCAGCTTCCCATCCCCCGACCACGAGGGCAGGTCGGGGATTGCCTCCATCGGTCTCTGAGGTGCGAGTGCTGGAGAGCGAGAAAGTCGCCTTCGCAAATTTGCCTTCGAGGAGTTCCAGCCTTTGAAGCATTTCCCCCTGGCGATTGTCCACTTTTCGCACGCTCTCTTCCATTGCACAGTGTCGGTCTGTCATGGCTTCCAAAAGTTTGGTAGTGTTGCCGACGTGGGTTTCGACCGTAAGCTCGACTGTGTTGACCCTACTGGCTAAGCTGTCCATATCCTCACGAACTTGGGCCACAATCTCCTCGCGGTTGTCCTTCAGGGCTGCCAAGAGTGTGCTGAGGGTCAGAGGTTTCTCCCCCTCGTCGTCGTCAGCTTGTGCGGGCCTTTTCCTTCCCCCGCCAGGTTGGGCACTGCCGGGTTCTGCATGCATAGGTGAAGTTGGCGATCTTGTCGTTCCTGCCATTACTCAGTCAGGTAAGTGAACTTCGCCTTCGCCCAGCCTGCAAGTAGTAGATCGACTCTGCGTTATTGTCCCCCGCCCACGTAGAGTCGCCGATTGCCTCAAAGGAGAGGGCTGGCGGTGTCCCGAAGGTGCGGCGTGTGGCCACCGTACTGGAACAAGGCCCCCGATCTCGCGGTACACAACGTGCAAGACGTACACGCGTAGTGCAACACACTTCACTGTCAACTCGATGGCACACTCACAGCACGGTTTCTCCCTCTCTCTCCTGACTTCCCCCCGCTACGGTTGCTCCCCTTTCGCGTCTCTCCGCACTGGGCTCGGGGCTCGAACGGCACGGCTTGAGCCAAAATGGCTATAACCCTAAACCCTCTCTCTCTCTCTCTCTCTTTCTTTCTCCGGGCCTGAGGGCGAGCCCCCGCGGGAGCCGCCCGTTTGTTGGTTGTGTGCATGTGTCTCTCTCTCGCTCTCTCTCTCTCTCTCTCTCTCTCTCTCTCTCTCTCTCTCTCTCTCTCTGGCATTCGAAACGTCAAGCCCCTTCCCTAAACCCTACCAGTGACCCCGAACCCTACAAGCTAGTAGGTTATGAGCCCTTAATTGGAGGGTAGAACCCCAGGTAAACCCTAAGCATCTTAGCTTGGTTATCATGATCATCGTGAGCCATTTTGGCCGAGGCTCCTCAGCCTGCAGGGTCCTTCGCTTCGGCAAGCTCGGCAAGGAAAACCCATCCACCTGCGGGGTCTTTAGGGATGAGGGTTTAGGGGTGTAGGGTTTAAGGATTTAGGGTTCATAGGGGTGTAGGGTTTAATTATATAAGGATTTAGGGTTTAGGGGTGCAGGGTTTAAGGATTTAGGGTTTATAGGGGTGTAGGGTTAGAGGGTTTATAGGGGTGTAGGGTTTAAGGAATGAGGGTTTATAGGGGTGTAGGGCTTAGGGATTTAGGGTTCAGGGTCTGGGGTTTTGGGGTTTAGGGTCCGGGGGTTAAGGGTTTAGGCAGCGATCGGAGGCTAAAGCTGCTCTGGGACTCAGCAGTGGTAGATATGAACTGCAGGAGTAGCAGCAGTAGCGGTAGCAGGAGCAGAAGTAAAGTAGCAGTAGCAGTAGCAGTAGCAGTAGCAGTAGCAGTAGCAGTATCAGTAGCAGTAGCAGTATCAGTAGCAGTAGCAGTAGGAGTAGTAGTAGTAGTAGTAGTAGTAGGAGTAGGAGTAGTAGGAGTAGTAGTAGTAGTAGTAGTAATAGTTGTCGTCGTGGTGGTAGTAGTGGTGGTATTAGTAGTCGCAGCAAGGCTATGAGTAGGAGGCGGAGGAGCGACAATACTGGTAGTGTGCCTTGCTTGCAACAGTCTGTGCACTTGTCAAACCTTTCTGCCAAGTTCCGATCGAAGCATCGCCAAAACCAAGGACTGTGGCAATACAGGATTATTTAGGGCCTTAACCTTAGACGCTCACGACTCGAACAACTCCAGGCGGTCGGAACTGAAGCCTCCGAATGGTCAGATGTTTGACTCTTCGAGATGAGCTTGCTTGCCTGTAGCGAGAGCCGACAGGATTGCGGTTTCGGGATTAGCTTCAAGACTCCCCCGGCGTCTGCGCATGGGTCGTCAGCGTTCGCAGTGTTTTGTATCGTGCTCTCAGGGGTTCATGCTGCAGACTGTTCGGATGTACGTATGTCCTGCTCCTTGGAAAGGGAATTGCCCTCGCTCACTGCGAAAGCCTCTCCATCTCAACCCTGCCCGAGTACTCTGGAGAACCATCCGCATTGCTGAAACCCGCCCACACACGACGGCGCCATACAGGCAGAAGCCAAGAATGTGCCTTGACACTTTGCAAAAGGCTTCGGCACTTGGAAGCCGAGCCACGCTAATGCTGTTGCCGAAAATGGCCAAGAGGATGTCTTGTGTCCTGCGGGTGAAGAAGCAGAAAAGCCCTGATCGTTTACCTAAGGCTGGGAACTCTTTGGACCAGGAGCTTTGAAACATCTTTATCGGTGAAGCTTAAGAAGTTTGGGTTTCTGAGGAGTGACCTTCTATGGCCCTACAGGCCCTACTGTGCCAAAGGAGCCGTGCCCCTTCAAGTGTCGGTGAGAAACTTTTATATACAAACCCCAACCCGCAGCTTCCTGTCGTGATGAGCTTGCAGACGAGCTTGTCTCCGCAGTATGTCAGAGACGGAAACCATCATGTTCTGGACAGGGGGCGATGCGGAGCACAGCGCATGCGCACGGGCTGCCGCGTCAGTAAAGGGAATCCCACATACGCGTAATCTTTCCGCAGTCCGACCATTCTTGAGCATGAACGGTCGTCAAGTGAAGCCCAAAGAAGTGGTGCCTGTGCCCTTTGCAAAAATCGTCACGAGGCAGACCTCCTTCAGTTGCTCAATAGCGTGCAGTAACCCTGCAAGACCTTGATTGGCCCGCAAAACCCGTGGGATCTAGCCGAGATGCCTTCATGTCAAAGTTGGACGGCACTCCTCTTACTTTCCTCGGAGGACTTGCTGCTGCAGAACTGCAGAACCGGGCAAATGCGTATAGAGATCTTCGCTTGTTGTCGCTTAAACTTATGGATTCGCTGTTGTGACGTCGGCATGGCTTGTCTGTTTCTTCGCTGGACATGCCGTTGCAGCTGGTAATCGTGCTCTAGATCATGAGTCTGAATTTAGCAAGTTGTTCGGGGGTTCTTACGTTCGACGCTGCCCGATTGTTTGAACGATTGCCGTGCCCCTTCAGAAGCACGAGGCAGGCGCGCCGTGGCACGGTCCGTGCCTTGCATGATTGCATAGTCAACTCTTCTTAAGTTGCAGTTGCCGCTGCTGCTGCCGCTGCTGCCGCTGCTGCCGCTGCTGCTGCTGCTTCTGCTGCTGCTGCTGCTGCTGCTGCTGCTTCCGCTGCTGTTGTTGCTGTTGACTACTGTTGATGTTGTTGTTTCGTTGCTGTGGTTGTATTGTTATTCATTAATACTGGTATTGCTGTGTTATTTCAGGGTCCCGGCTTGTGGCGACGACTCTTGTGGTCTATGCGGCCTCGACGGGGTCGAGAATTCTCATCGTGATGAATGGTGGCATTAAGGATGCTCGCAACAGCTGCAAGAACGAATGATGCAAAAACTCTGCGAAGGCATGCAAAATCCGATGCAACAAGCATAAGAGCGTCAGTCATCTTCGTAAGGAGTGCTCGACTGAGACAGCAGTCAGACTGAAGCGCATCTCATGCTCCTGGGATGATAGCCTCAGAGCCTGAAGACCCACCCCACAGCAACTATTGTCCATTGGCTTCATGGTCTGAAGGTCGAGGCAATTCTGCTACCCGCCTGCTGAGTCCATGGAGCACAAGCTTCAGGTCATGTACTATATTGCATCATTCTTCATGGTATTCGACTCGAACGTCCCGAAACCCTAAAACCATGGGAGACGGAGGTTTTGCCGGCCATGGACTTCACACTCTCGTGGAAGGTGAGGAAGCTGATTTGGCCGACCCCTTCCTGCCAGGCTCTGTGAGATTCTGGCTGGAATAGGACATCTGGACCTTCTCTCGGAGCCTCCATGATTTGAACAGGGTCTTGGGGTTTGTGGTAGTACGTAACTATGGTTTAACTGAGGAAGCTTCAGGAATAGTATTGCTATGTATTCCGAATCATTCCGACCCTTAGCCTTAGATCACGCTTCTTTGCGGTGACACCTACCAGTTACAAGAATTCTACAAATATCTACAAATTTCACCTATCCGAAGCGCGCCAGCGAGCTTAGCAAAAGCAATGCTGAAGGTACGCATGTCTCGAAAGCCGAAACTGCCCAATTCCCAAATCAATAACAACATGCTTATCGTTACGCTAATAATACCAGTGATACTAGTAGGAATACTAAAAATACTTATAATACCAATAGTAATTATAATGTTCATTCCAAAAGTAAACCCCAAGAGCCTCGTCGAGGATGTCGAAAAGCTCCTCTGGCTGCTCCGCCGGGACCTGCTTTGCTATCGGGGCCAGCGGCTTTTCAGTGGGCTCTTTTCGGAATTGGGTACCTTATCTTGAATGTCCTTATAGTGAGGATCCTAGTATTAGGGTACTGCAATAGGGAATGGTTCAGGGTTGCGGTCTGTAGGGTCTAGCGTTTAGGTGCTAGGTTCCTGGGTAGCCCCATTAAAATAAGGGCACCCTTCGCTATCCGGTTTTCAATAAAGGGACCCTACATGAAAAAGGGCATAAGGGTACCACTCAGGAATCTAGAGTGTCAGCCGCCGGTGTCGACGTTTAATTAAGAACTCTAGCTCGCAGCTCCTAGTACGCCACAGCAAGCAACCTCTCCGTGTTCATTACACAACAAACCCATTACTCCCAAGGCTCCGACCAACTGTGCGAGCGTCTAGAGGCCCTAATAAGTAGATAATGGAGCCTCCCCAAATTCGGAAACCCGACGTATCCGAAAGCCTGAAGCAGTTATGTACGGCGCAACGAAGGCTGGAGCAAAGACTATGTAAATCTGAAATGGGAGTTTCCGAAAATAGGGGACCCTAATATCGTACCCCACATAGTAGGATCCTTATTATAAGGACCCCAAAATAAGGTAATTTTCGCAAACTCCCAAATACCCCCTTGCTTGAGAGACCCGAACCCCTCCATGGGATTGACAGGCTCGGCTCCCTGCTTCATCGGATTTTCGCAGGGTTTAGGGGTTTAGGGTTTAGGGGTAATTAAACGTGCTTGACTCACAATTCTCGGATGGATGCCATGGAGAATAGCGGTCTGCCCGACATATTTGAGGCTGCGCCTGTTTGTTCTGAACACGGACCCTACCTCCACCTTGCCAACAGCGAAGATGCTCTACATCTACAATATGCCATGAGGGTTTACTTTCGCCCAACTGCCTCCATGCGGAGCAGCGCATTCTTGACCTCTGGTCTTTGGCCTTGCTCCCACTTTGAAGGGGTACAGGGTCTGGGATGCCGCGAGCCCATAGGGTTTAGGGTTTAGGGGTTTAGGGGTTTAGGGGTTTAGGGTTTAGGGGTTTAGGGGTTTAGGGTTTAGGGTTTAGTGGTAGCCTGCAGGACATGCATCGGGGAATACGTGGTGGAACACGAACATTGACAGGACTTCTCCCACTTCTGCCCCTCGACTCCAAACAAAATCATTTCCGCACGGTTGAAAATTCGATTTAGCGGACTTGGGCTTCGGTTGAGCTTTGCAACATTGAATTTGTTGCCAAGTGTCTGATGGCACTTCTGTATGACACAACAGTTGCTCGTGCATCGAACCACCACAACAGCTGAATCTCTGGTACAACCTGGTATGAGTACTAGTGTTCTTGGCGAAATTGCTGCACTCACAACTTTTTCAGAGACCCGACTGGCATGTGCTGAGTAATCCACGAGATTCGGATCAAGAACAAGTTCATTGGGAGTTGGGTCTAGGATGGGCGGCATGCATTGTACCACTGTTGCTTTTGGCGCGCTGGTCGCAGGGTTTACCTTTTTACCAAAGTCTCGATAGCACGAGAGGCAGTGCACAACCTGCCTAAACCACAACGACTGTTCTTGAACCCTATAAACCCTAAACCCCAACACCCAATTTCCTAACAAACGTGCTCCTGAAGACAGGCTGCATATTTCGACGAACTCCTCACGGTCGAGGGTTCCGCTGCCGTCCGAGTCCGCGGACTGCGCCCACATGCTAAGCTTGGCTCTTGTTCTGGGAGCTAGCCTAAGTTACCATTACCGGGATATATGGTAAAGAATGTGCTAGGCTTACCTGGGTAGCTTAAGCCAAGTTCCTTGACAAGAGCCCAGCAAGCTCAAGGTTATTGCGGAAATCCATGTCAGCGAACCACAAGATCATGGTTGGCACGGGGTGTCCCTAGAGAAGCTCACAGGCTTGAGTCTATTCTTTCGCAACTTGAAACCGTATATGTCCGTCTATGCCAAAATGCACATGTTCATGTATGTTTTCTATGTATGTATGCATGTATGTAGGTAGGTATGCATATACGCACATAAATATGTGAGTATACATACACATACACACACATGCACACACACATATATATATATATATATATATGTATTTATACAGAAGCACATATGTATACATATAGTTATATGTACATATACATATATCAATAACGTTGTCGTTTGGCAGCTCATCCGGCCACAAGCCATGCTTTGTCTCGAGCTTCCTTCTGCTACCGCCACCGGATCTTCAGAGCCAGCAGTGTGCGACTACCTTCGACGCTGCCTACAGATCGCTTCTAAAGTTTACATTCTTTCGTGGTATTCCAGGAGCAGCTACTCTAATAGCCGGCTGAATCTTCAGTTGTTTGACACTGTTTCTTGGCAATGTTCCGGACAGAGGCAAGGGCACACGATCACTAACTTGAGAAGATTCGTAGCCAGCCACCGATAGAAATTCATCGAATGATGAGTTGATTACGCTTTCTTCGTGCATGGCATCCACAACCCTCAAAAACACATCATCAAATTCTCGCCTGCCTCACAACCCATCATGTGTTCATCATGTTGCCTTCACGCCCGCCCCATCCAACTGCATCCCAAAGCCCGTCCCGAGCCAGTTCTTTCCCGAGACATCCCAAGTAAGCGGCTTTCCGGCTCTCCAGGACCCTCCGTCGATGATTTGTTGACAACTTTTGGAAGCATGGCGATAAGGCGATGACAAAATGATCATTTCACGATGGCAAACATGATGGTGTTTTTGACAAATTGACTCCTGCAGGCTATGCCAGTCCGTCCACACCAGAATCTTATAACAGTACCTATTCAGACCCTAATGCTAAATCAGACCACCTCCTACACACAAACCAACCACTGAAGGCTCCGATCCCTAATCATTAATCGCACCCTTCCAGCCTCAAAAACCTCCTTCAGGAACTCCAGCTCTTGGAGGAGTTGACGCTGAAATCGCCGGTCCTGGAGATCCTTCAGGCGAGTGAGGGTGTTTCTATGCCCCCTTAGAACCATAATAACCACAATATGTTTAATACTCTCTTGGGTTATATATGAACAAAAACAAGAAGTAATTCCTAAGGAGACCATAGGTGTTTTTGTGAGCGCGCAGCCAGGCAGCTACGAAAGCCCCAAAAGGGCTTGAGGCAACAGAGAATTTAGGTTTTTTATAGCGCTCGTGGGGATTCGGTGTTGCTACCTCAAATGCATATGATACCTTGCTGGAACTATTGTAGACACTAATAGAACTTGCGGCCTCACCACTGCTACTGGTGTGAACATACAAGACAAGGGTCCTGACGCCCAAGGGTCCTTATCCCGCACTGAAGAAGTTAATAGGCAGCGGGCTGCAAGTTGTGAGGACTACGACATGGAATCCATGGCACTCTGCTCATCTCATCCCCGGCATCTTTGCAGGTGCAGATGGTTGGGGGTCAAGGTAAGCTTACAACGAAAATTAAGTAACAGGGCATGACACCGGAGCACTCGCTCACACACTCGGGACATGTGAGGGTGGCAAGGGAAAGTCCCAAGTCCCCCTGCGCATCGCAGATGCAGGACTCACATACGCTCCCTAGAGTGTCATGCCTGCAGTCCAACTGGCTCACTTGCGTATTGAATCTCATGACGGCGCACGATCCGGCACAACTACTCTCATGCAGTGTATGCAATTCTGTGCCTGGCTTTCGGTTTTGCTGTCTTGAAACAGTGCATGCAGGGGTGTAGGGGGCAGGGCTGATCCTGGTCAGATGATGCGATGTTCAGCGTGTTCTCCACAATGACGCCTGCAGTCACAGTTTGCAAAACTTGCGGCGTTAAAGCCCAGCTTTGGTCCTACCCAAGATGCACTGTGCAGGCTCCAAATGCAGCACCATTTCTAAGAAACACGACAACCCCGGTTTGGTCACAAGGCAGTCTCTGCGGCTCTGGCGCCTACGATGATGTTCAACAGGCCAAACGTGGTCAGGAAAATATACCTCAGGCTTCACTCGAAGTAGTCATGCAGCTCCGCACGATGGCATCCAGAAGCGAGCAACTGGAACCCCAGAAGCCAACAACCACTTGTATACTTGTGAACAGTAGGCACCGCGACATTTCGACGTGCCCTTTGCAGCAATACTGTCGGGGCCTTAATAATTAGAGAAAGCATTTGGGGCCCATTATACTATACATATATAATAGGGGGCCCCCAACATCGTATAGGTAATTAATATGAGGCCGCTCTATTACAGCCAATGCATTCCAGAGGTGCAGGAGCAAGACCGGGAACAACAGTGGCTGACGCTCCACTAGAGGTCGGCCCACCGTCATGTTCCATGACTCCTGCGGGAGCACACTCCTCGTCTAGTACCGGTGCTGGTACAGTATGTGTGTATATATGTGCATATATATATATATGTACACGGATTCCCTTGAGGGTTGAAGTTCAGAGGTGACTCCGGATTTGGAAGGAGCTCGTTCGAGACTGCTGTGCTAGCGGGTTAGGGTTATCTGAACTTCTCCCGGATGCAATTAACGCACAGCTGAGCAAGCTTGAATCTCGTTTCTTATCTTTCTTTAAAGAAACATGGGGTCCTTACAATCATATAGACGCCCTTACAAGAAGCCGAATAAGGTAGGGATATCCCCTGAAAATGCTTGTGCTTATGTGCTTTCTGGGTCCCTAATATATTGACTCTTTCCAAACTGGCCCCATGTGCAGCATGGAAGCGGTCCAGCGTAACAACCTGCACCAGAGTGTACATAGTTCTTGGAATGGTACCTGAGACACCCAGAGAGAACAATACCCCTTAATGAAGGAGTAGAGCTTATACATCATAATATGAACCCCCGTATGAAGAAAGGTATATTCCCTTCATAAAGGGGTATTGGGCTCTCTGGGCAGCTGCTCACAAGCATGGCCTAACGCATGCATGCCCCAATTCCGGCACGTTCAACGAGCCAGCCCTCACGTGCAAAACATTACAAGCCTTTCGTCTGCAAACTAAGTAGAATGCGGACCTTGACCGCGCAGCACTTACTGAGCTCAGTTGTTGGCTCAGTGCTGCTACTCGAACTCCTCGAAGCTCTCTCATTTGTGTGTCCATGCCTAGATTCTTTATTCCTTCTGCACGCTGCAGCGATCCGTCCAATTACTGTGAGGATCCTCCACCTGACGCCACAAACGAGAAACCCCAAACCCATCCAAGACCGTAAAGCAGACCTCTCAACCCTGAAGCCCTCTTTCCTTGAAACCTATAACCCAAAGCTTTAAACAGCGAGCTCCTGATACGCAAAACGATCCAAACGACACTCCGCTCTTCCCAGACACCGAAACGCAGCCTGCGTAGAGCGGGCATTTAATCCCAAGAAAAAAATGCTATAAAGATAGTCCCGCATTAAATGGAAGTTTGTAGGGTTTCGGGGTTTCGGGATCATGGTTCCTTTTTGCATCCAGGCCGCCTGAGGCCGTTGCCATCACCCTGAACACCCAAACCCGCCAAATCCTAAACCCAAACTAAACCCCAAAACCCTAAATCCTAAACTCCAAACCCTAAGCCCTAAAACCCTAAACTCTAAACACCAAAACCCTAAGCCCCCCTCCCCCTTAAGATCTATATGCCGTCATGATCCCTGAACCACCAAACCCAAAAACCCCTCAAACCCCTATGATCTATATGCTGCCGGAAGCTGCCAAAAAATGCCTCGCAGTCGCTCCAGTCGGCAAAACCGCCTTTGCAGTCTACGGCCAGACGTAAACCTCGGTGTGTTGTTCGGGTTTAGGGTTTTGTTTAAGGTTGTAGGGTTTCAGGGTTTAGGGATTCACTTTGTTGATTTTCAGGTCTTTTGAGTAGTTAGGAAACTTCGCGTGTTTCGGGACGTGTTGTTGGCGTGCTTTTTTGTTGGTTTTTTTGGGGGTCGAAGATATCTCCAGCTTCAAAGAATGGAACCATGTTGAGCTTTTTAGAGTGTTTGGGGGATTTAAGGGCTTTGGGTTTCAGGTTTGCAGGTTTGGGGTTTCAGGCTGCTGCGCTTCTTTTGGGGATTTTAAGGGTTCAGGGCTTAAGTTTTGGGGCCTAAGGCTGAGGGGCTTTTGGGTAGCAGTAAGAAGAATCTGGATCATTCATACTACTACTTGCTACTACTACTACTACTACTACTACTACTACTACTACTACTACTACTACTACTACTACTACTACTACTACTACTACTACTACTACTACTACTACTACTACTACTACTACTACTACTACTACTACTACTCCTACTACTACTACTACTACTACTACTACTACTACTACTACTATGTAACTGTACATAGTCTGCGGGCTGGCTGTTGTGCTGTATGCTTTTATGCATGCTCTTCTGTAATTCGTATTCATAACATTTTTGGCTCAAGTGAGCACGGCAGTGTGTCGTTGGTAGCTTCTCGTTGCCGCGACGCAATTGCGCGCAGCCCGTCCTGGGCGGACGTTCGACCTGTCACGGTCGTTGGACTTTCTGCTTGGACGGAAAACGAGGGTGCGTGCTGCCCCTTTGGGTTTCCGTTCTCCACAATTGGGGGCTGTTCTGGGAAACGGCCACCCAGGCGGCTGCTGCGCCGCAATCTTTTAACGTGGCCTCGAAGGCGCGCTTGTCGTGCGCCTTGAGGCCGTGGTCCTGTGTGGCACGGGGCTCTCTCCTTCGCTAGGCGACCATGAGCGCTGAGGTCGCAGGTCAGCCGGAAGGAGCCACGTTGCTGAGGTGCATCGAGGATGGGTCAGTGGAGTACCCGGAGAAGATGCCCTTTATGTACTGGCTCCGTTGGCGTAAGGAAACGGGGTCCCGTCCCACCAAGAAGAAGGACGGACGATCCACGACGCTAGCAGATGAACAGCGTCTGTGGAAGGAGACGATGGAATTCCTCTACGACAACTTCGATGCCGAAGAGGAAGAGGAAGAAGATGAAGAGGAAGATGAGGAAGCTCCAGCTGCGGAAGCGGGCCCGGGTGCTCAGGATGGCGATCCGGGCCCCAGCTCTGAAGAGCTTCTGCCGGAGGCCGGGGTACCGGCTCCGCGTCCTGCCGCTGCGCCGGCGGACGTGGCCGAGACGGCGCGCCGTGTTGGTGCGCTTGCTCTCTCGCCGGTGGCCGGCGGCCCGGCCCGTTCCGGGCCTCCCTCGTCTGCTGGGACGGGTGGTCCCGTCACGGCGGAGACCCTGCAGGCGGACCTGCGGGAGCTCTACCGTCCCGACCAGGAACCGGTCGCGGATTACCTGACGCGGGTTTCAAGGCTGGTTGTGGCCTTGAAGGCGCACCAGGCAGAGGTCACGGTGGAGGATCTTGAGAAGATCACTACCAAGGCCACCATCCTTGCCGAGGAATACGGCAAAATGGGAGGTGACTGGCACCCTGCCAGGATGGTGCGGGCCCTGCGCACCAGGTTTACCGTTGCCGCGGTTTCTCTTGGGTCGGAAGACCGAGAGGAGGTCGAGAAGGAGATCTCGTGCCTCGGCGAGCTGATCTTGGCCCTGGGAGGCAAGAGCAGCGGCGATCCCGAGAAGGTTTGGAGCACTCCTTCTTCTGTCCCGGCCCTGGCGGCCCGGACGGGCGCCGTTGCGGAGTCGGGCTCTAAGTCCGGAGCACCGGCGCCTCTCCCGGTGGACCTTCAGCTCGCGATCCCTGAGGCTCCGCAACCTGGTCCGGGGGACTCACCCCTGAAGTCCCGCCTTGCGGCTCTGGAGATAGAGCTCGAAGGGCTTAAGAAGGATAAGCCCGGCGAGCCTCACTCCGCCAGCGGCGGAGCCGGAGAGCTCGCTGCAGCTTTGGCGGCCCAGACCGAGGCGCTCAAGGAGGCCTTGGCGTCTCGCGGAGGTCAGACGTCGATCACGACCGTGAAGACGGACCTCCAATGGCCCTCGCTCACCGACGATCGCTCCGACATCCGGGACGTGGTCCAGTTCTACGAAGAGTTCGAGGACGTCTGTGGCCTTGCCAACAACTGCAAGGGGATGAATTTCCGGGAGAAACTCATCGCCCTTCGTGCTCGCTGCCGCGGCTCGAGGCTTAAGACCTTTACTAACGTGTACAAGGCTGCCTCCAAGACCGGGGAAGTTACTGAGAATCCCCAAGCCGTTTACGAAAGGATCAAGCAGCGGCACCTTGTCTTCGGCGAGAGCCGAGAAGAGAAGGAGATGAGGGTGGACGCGGAGCACGTCGCCCTCACTAAGGGCCGTCTCACAGGGCACCAGTTCGAGCCCCTGTTTGAGGCCTCCATCGCGGAGCTGGAGAGTGTGGGTCTTGGCAAGACAGCGAGGGAGCTCTTCCTAAGCTACTTGCGCAAGATGCCTCCACATCTCCAGAAGGAGATCCGCGGTGATAAGCGGTTGTGGCCTAGCGACGGCGCATCCGCAGGGCTTCGAGGCCCTTCGACCTGGGAAGAAGCGCATAAGGTCGTCCTCGAATATGAGCAGCGTGAGGCTGCGCATCGGGTGACGGCTAATAGCGTGTACGCAGGTTCGACGGAAGACCCAGCCCTGTCCGCCGCGCGGAAGGAGGTCGAGAAGCTGAGGACGGAGCTCAAGGCTTCTAAGGCCGCGGCCAAGGCGGCCGCCTCTTCCACGCTTGCCGCTGGTCCGAAAGGAAATGGAAAAGGTAAGCCTATCTGTTTCCATTTCCGCGACCACGGGAACTGCCCAAAAGGGGACGCGTGCCCTTACTCGCACGACAAGGAGCTCCGCAAAAAGGCCCTCGCGGCCAAGAAGGAGCGGGACGCGTCCACCCTGGCGACAACGCCGGGGAAGGGCAAGGGCAAGGGCAAGGGT